CATGCATTTTCCGGGTTGGTACAGTGCCACATCAACAGTACCACATCAACAATGACACGTCAGACACAATGCCACGTCAGAGTGCCACGTAAGCAGTGCCATGTCAGACACAGTGCCACGTCAGCAGTGCCACGTCAGCAGTGCCACATCAGCAGTGCCACGTCAGACACAGTGCCACGTCAGCAGTGCCCCGCCACCATGACGGGCGCAGCTCTGGGGATGCCCGACCAACTGGCCAATGAGTCCATTGCCGAGTACAAAAAGCATTTCCAGGCTCAGCTCGCTGCAATCGAGGCTGAGGAAGAACGCCAGCTGGCAGCCAAGGCTGCCCAGCTACAGGCTGAAGAAGTGGCAACAGCAGAGAAGCTGCGGCTACAGGCCGAAGCAGACGCAGATACCCAGGCTCGCCGAAAGGAAGCCCAGGATCTGCTGCTGCCGCACGAAGCCAACAGCATCGACAGACTCAAGTACTGACACTTTGAACCGAACGGCGACGAGCCAACACCGGAAGAGCAGCATAAGGAGTTCTTGGCCAAGCTCGTGGCCAGGCTGGTTTACACATGTAACCACCTGCAGTCCGAGCTGGCAAACCTTCAGCGGGCTGTGCGGAACCATAAGACTCAGCATGAGGATGCCACACGGGCACTGGACGCCCGTGTACTGGACCTGGAACAGGCTGTACCAGGACCAGCTGCTGGGGCTTCTAGCAGTGCATCCTCTAGCCGCCAACTGGAGGAACGCGTTGACCACGTAGTGGCAATGCTAGGAGACATAAGTGCCTTCACAAAGCCGGCCACCATCAGCCAGCGGTTCGAGTTGCTGGACACCAAGATCAGTCAGCAACAGCAGACCGACCACAGCCACAACAACAGCTCGGCGAGGCCATACAAGATGCCGACGTTCCGGATCGAGAAATTTGATGACTGCACACATCAAGACCCGGTCGTCTGGTGGCAAGGATTTACAACGGAGTTGGGGATCCACGAGGTCCCTGACCATCTGTTCAGCAGTGCTCTGTTCATCAACATCAAGGGAGGATGTCAGATCTGGCTCAGCCACATGGCAACCATCCATGGCGTCCAGGTTTCAGACCTGCACAAGAAGGTCACCTGGGAGGATATGACAAAGGAATGGAAGAAGCGGTTCATAGTGGATGACGCACCCGCGCTCGCCATCAACCGCATCTTCGCGATGGCTCAAGGGAGCACACCGACACGTGACTGGCTCACGGATTGGCAGAAGATCGTGGCCACGCCCGATCTGGACTTGCCATTTCCGCATCTACGCTGTGAGTTCTACAACAGGTCATGTGTCGCTCCCAGCCTCGCACTGGGTGATCGCGAGCAGTACAACACTTTCGCAGAGATCATCAACAAGGCGAGAGAGATCATCAAGACCAACAGGGCGGCCGCACACGAGAAGTCAACGTGGCAGCCAACCTATGTGGAGAAGGTACGAACTGGTCCGCGACAGCAGCAGTTCGCTGCAGTCCAATCGGACAGTGGAGAAGACCCAACAACCACTCCAGCATCACGTGAGGGAGATCAGGTGGCTGCTGTCCAGCCGCGAAGCGACAAGCCCCGAGTGAACGGGAAGGCGAAACCAGCATCGCAGGCCGGAAACGGACAGCCAGCACCACCATGGGTCAAGTTCGGCTTGACCGAGGTCGAGTACAAGTACCGCAACCGTTACGGGTGCTGTTACTGGTGCAACAGCACCAAGCACAAGACCTCCATTTGCCAAGATCAGGTCAAGGAGGATGTGCGGCCTCGTCTTAACTCGGGAAACTGAGTTGCGCAGGAGGTGAGGCGGCTCCACCTCTCACTCCGCCAGATTCGGCCGCCTTGCTAGCGGCCTCCTACACATCTGGGGAGGATGCGCATGTCGCAAGTCCTCGGTACACTTACGAGGATTATGCTGTCCACTTGGTCCCACCGCTGGACCAACCGCTCCACGTGCAACAATCTACCGCATGCACGGTTTCATCACCATTGGCAACCGATTCGGCACCTTCGCCGCTATCTATCGTCGGGGATTCATCGTCGTGGTCAAGACTTGAGGTGCTCGACCCACTGACGTTCACGGACTTCCAGTGGATGCCCGTTCCCCAGACCGGACGATTGCCGAAACCGCATTGCAATGTGCTCATGGCACAACTACGAGATTACTTGCACACTGCAGTACCAGCTCTGTTGATGGACGCCGGAGTAGAGGTTGTCGACCTTCACACTTACATTGCGAAGATCGACCGCGAGTTCAAGATGCAACGGTACGACGACATCGACGCACCATTGCTATATGTACGCATTCAGATCGGAGAGGCGACCTGCAACGCCTTGATCGATTGCGGAGCATCTCGCAACTACATCAGCCAGGACTTCATGGTGCGCGCCGGCCTTGGCCCACGTGTCCGGAGGAAGTCCCAGCCTATGCAAGTCACTTTGGCAGACGGTCATACGCACAAGTCCATCGACCAGTGCATTGACGCCGTCCCCGTGTACTTTGCCCCTCACACAAGTGAGGCGGTGCCCTTTGATATTCTGGACACCAAATTTGACATGATCTTGGGCATGTCATGGCTGCGAAGCGAGGATCACCCGGTGAACTTCTTCCACCGCACCGTTCACATTCGTGATCGGAACGGAGTATTAGTTCCATGCACGGTACCTCTTCCTCATCCTTCGATCAACTGCCACGTGGTATCCGCCGCAAGCATGCAAGCATCCATCGTCAGAGACGACATCGAGGAGATGGGGGTGTGTTTTCTCCACGCCCTCCCGCCCCGAGACGCTTCATCGACGGACTCATCTTCGGATCCACGCATCACCGAACTTCTCGACGCCTACAGCGACGTGTTCGAAGGCCCGCACAGAGTAGTACCGGATCGGCCCATCCGCCACGAGATCATCCTCGAGGACGGGGCCGTACCTCCGCGCGGCTGCATCTACCGAATGAGCGAGGAAGAGTTAAGTGTGCTCCGTCCACAACTCGACGATCTTCTAGAGAAAGGCTGGATTCGGCCTAGCTCATCGCCATACGGTGCTCCTGTCCTCTTCGTCCGGAAGAAGAACAAGGACCTGTGGTTGTGCATCGATTATCGCAAGCTCAACGCGCAGACGATCAGGAACGCCGGCCCTCTCCCACGCATCGACGACCTTCTCGAGCGATTGGGCGGCGCCCAGTTCTTCTCTAAGCTGGATCTCAAGTCAGGGTACCACCAACTCGAGATTCGCAAGGAGGATCGCTACAAGACCGCGTTTAAGACACGGTATGGGCATTTTGAATCGCTGGTCATGCCGTTTGGCCTTACGAATGCCCCAGCCACTTTCCAAGCGGCTATGACAACGGAGTT